TTGTCCCCGAGGCTCCTTACACTATCCTCATTTTTTTGGATTCCTTTTTCTTTTTGCTGTTCTGATTGGGGATTTTTTGCTTCCTTATATCCCAAATCGATGGTTTACTTCTTGGATTTATGTACTCTACTATTGAATCTTTGTAAATTATTCTTTATTTCAGTTAAAGCCTCCTCCATTTCTAACTGTGCATCCATCATTTCTGACTGGTCCTTTTTTATGCTCTTGAGGCCCTCACTAAGTTCACTGAGCATCCTTATAAGCAGTATTTTGAACTCAGCATCTGTTAGGTTGCTTATCTCCATTTCACTTAGTTCTTTTCTTGGGGTTTTGTTCTGTTCTTTCATTTGGGACCTGTTACTTTGTCTCCTCATTTTGGCTGCCTCCGTGTTTGTTTCTGTGTATTACTTAATGAGAGGTATGGGGCTAGCTGAGACCAGATGCTGCTCGTTTGAAAGAATTTAGGAAAAACCTGAAGCAGGATCCAAGACAGGCCAATCCTATGGCAACAGCTTGGGTGGGCCTGAAAGTTGGGTGGGGCGGGGCCTCAGGGAGTCCCAGGGCGGGGCTACCAGTGTGAGCCAGGTTGCTGGAGTCCCAGATATGGCGGCTGTCTGCCACTCCAGGGAAGGGCTCACCAAAGGAACAAAGGCCTCTGACAGCACGTTTGTCCCAGGAGAAAGCCCTCTCTCCAGCCCTTGCTCCAAAGCCAAACAGCTCAGTTCTTCCCTGTGTGTCTCTGGCGCCCCTCGAGCTGCCTCCCCTCCAAGCTTAGAGGGAGAGAGTCTGATAAGTCCGTGCGCGGGCCCTTTAAGGAGCTGCCTGGAGCTCCAGCCGTGTCAGCTTCCCTGAGCCTCAGTTCCCGCTGGTTTTTCCAGCCAGAAGTTATGGGGATTCTCTTCCTGGCACTGGAACCCTGAGCAGGACGTCTGGTGTGGGACAGGGACCCCTCAGTCCTCAGAGAGGACATTCCCAGCCGAGGTCCTCCTGATTTTTATCCACCACACGTGGGTGTGGGACCAGCCCGTCTGCCTCCATCCCTCCTACAGTCTCCATGTGGCTGCTTCTTTAATTCCGTAGTTGTAGGACTTCCATTCAGCTCGATTTCAGGTGGTTTTGAATGATGGTTGTTCTGTAGTTTAGTTGTAACTTTGATGTGGTTGTGGGAGGACACGATACCGTGTTTACCTACCCGCCATCTTGACTGGAAGTCTTAACACATGTTAATTTAACGAAAAGCACAAGACGGGAGAGAGAGCTAGAGAGACTGCACTGTGAGAACATTCAGTCAGACACTGCTGGTTTTGAAAGTGGAGGAATGGGGCCACGAGCCAGGAAATGCAGGCAGGCTCTCGAAGCTGGAAAAGGCAAGGAAACAGGTTCTCTCTTAGAGCCTCCAGAAAGACTGCAGTCTTGCTAACACCTTGATTTTGACCATGTGAAACCCATTTTAAATTTCTAACCTCCAGAACTGTAAGATGATAAATCTGTGTTGTTTTAAATCACTAAGTTTGTTGTAACTTGTTACAGCAGTGATAGCAAACTAATATACTTCCCATGCTCAACTTGTATAAGTTAACTGCCAACATCTCCAGCAAATCTTTCTGTTTTCCCTTTTTTAAGGGATAACACCACCATATATATACTCAGTTATCCAAATGGGAGACATCCCTGACCTCTACCTCTCTTCCATATTTGATTCATCACAAATTCCTGTCAGTTCTTTCTACCTCTAAAATAACTCCCCCCGCCCTGGCCGGTCTGGCTCAGCGGTTAGAGCATCAGCCTGTGGTCCAGAGAGACCTGGGTTCGGTTCCCACTAAGGGCACGTACCTCGGTTGCAGTTTGTCCCTGGCCCTGGTTGGTTGTGCGGGTGGCAGCCACTCGATGTGTCCCTTTCACGTCAATGTTTCTCTCTCTCTCTCTTTCTCTCTCCCTCCCACTCTACCTGAACAAAAAATGGAAAAAATGTCCTTGGGTGAGGATAAAAAAAATAAAAATAAAATAACTCCCCCAATTCCACCGCATCTCTCTGAGACTGACTCTTTCTGGGCTACAATTATGAACTGCTAGGATTACTATGTACCAGTGGAGTTTTGTACTCCAAGCCTATTCTCTATACTTTCAGATACACACACACACACACACATTTCATTGAAATCCATAGGAAGAACTACATTTCACATCAAGATCTAGGACACACATACACTCAAAGCAAAAGTTTCACAAAACCGTAACTCCCATATTCTTTTGTACTGTGTGTTATTTTCTATTCTATGTAATTTAATTTTAAAAAAACCCAGCTACTCATGACTCACTATAATGATTTCATAACTAATCAATGGATCATGACCTGTAGTTTGAGAAAACATTTTTCTACCTGGCTACTAGAATATTTTTTCTAAAATATAATCATTATTTTCCTTAAAATCCTTCAATGGCCTCCCACTACTCTAAGGATAAAGGCTTATGATCCTTCATTATCCAGCTCTTTTATTATTGTAGCTTCATCTGTTTCTACTCTAACTGGTTCATTTTCATTTTGCAATCCAATCTTACCTACTTACTTTCAGGACTCAGAATGTGTATCTAGTGCCACAACACTTCCCCCACATTGTCTTGTAGCTAAGTTCTGCTCACTGTACCTTCTCAGTTTAGACTTCACCGCTCTCTGAATCCTTGAATGCTTTCCTTGGATGCCTGGCCTGGGTTAGGTGCCCCTCCCTTGTACTTTCTTAGCACAGTGGACTTCCTCAATGGCAACGTTGATCACCCTGTATTTCAACTACAACAGTGCTATTGTAAGACTACTATTTAAGTGTTATTTATGAATTCTGTTCTCCATAGTATACCTAGTAGGCCTTCAGTAAATATTTATTGAATAAATATGTGAAACTATTTTAGTAGATTCCCATCTTAAGTCAATTAAGTGGACATTGTAATACATTCCCATGTTATTGGATATTTTTTGTTTAAAAACAAATTTGTTTTCAATCCTCACTCAAAGACATTTAAAAAAAATTAATTTGAGAGAGAGGGAGGAAGGGAGAGAGAGACAGAGAAACATCGATGTGAGAAAGAAACACCAACTGGCTGCCTCCCATACACACCCCAACTGAGGTTCAAACTCGAAACCTAGGTACGTGCCCTGACCACGAATGGAACCCACAACCTTTTAATTTTTTGGTGTATGGGATGATGCTTCAACCAATTGACCACCCAGCCAGGGCAGACTTTTGGTTCTTTTACATCAATGTAACATGTGATAAAATTTTAAAGGAGGAACAGGTTTGGAATATTAAACAGTTTCTAGAGTTTAGCTGTATGTAAAGATTTCCAGAGTTTAGCGATGTGTGGAGCAGAATGGAATGCTGGGCTACAGATTCACTACAGCCCTTGTACTGGGACATAACCTAGCATCCCTGAGTCTTAATTTCCTCATCTGAATTCCAATATCCCAGTTAACTTTTACCCTTGGATATCCCCAAGCATCCCAAATTCAATTCGTGTAACATATAGGGATAACAGCATGATTTTAGAACTACTGTGAGAAGCCAGTGGTTAAATAATAAAACAATACTTTGCAGATTACTTTTAGCTATTGCTACATACAGACACAAACCTATGTCAGGTTATGCCAACACCCTAAGTTACATTGGTTAAAGAGAGCAAGCAGGATGAAAAATGGGAAGAGTGGGGTATGATCATCCTGTATGAGCAAACCTCGTAAATTCTTAGATTTAGCTATAACACAGCCTGTCATATTTTGACTTTTTATTCAGAGAGTTTCTTCCTCAGAACTTTCCTATTCCTTTAAAAGAAAAGTAAAATCTCATTAGGGTAACTAATTTAGTCTGAAATATCAGTTGTAGGGCATTTTATTAACTTCTTGGTGGGAAAAGGGGATCTCCATACTCAGGTAAGCATCATCAGACTGACATATGGTGGTTTTGCTATGGTGGGGAGGAATAACTCCCCCCCCCCCCACAATAAAAAGAACAGCCATCCATGAGGCCTGTGTTAGCCAGCCCTCCAATGCTATCTAACTACTTATATAATTAGAGGATTATACCTATCTGTCTTCATTTCTTGCAGTCACTCCTATCAAATGGTGCAGAATTTCTTCCTCTAAATGTTAGCAGGCTACAACATGCTCAAAGAATAAACTGTGCTGGAAATATTCTGGCTATAACATAATAATGTGCTGATATAAGAAAAAAAAATGCCTACCCACAAATCAGACTGGCACATTGAAAAACAAATTGCTTCGGAATATTTTTCTGCCTCTTACCTCAGTTACCCTACAACCTATTTTGAAGGTGGCAGAAATTCATCCAGGAATACAGAATCAGCAAAGTAATGTAGATTGATAAATCAAAGGTTTAATAAATTTGTCTTTTATAAAAGAATGTAAACATTTCATTAATTTTCACTTCATTCATTCACTCAGTATATACATCCCATTATTTGCCAGGTACTTGTGCAGTTGCTAGGGATATAATAGTGAAAAAGTCAAAGTCCTGCTTCAGGGAGGTTACATTTTCTAACAGGAAGGGAGAAGGTAAAAAAAAAAAAAAGCAATTAAATAAGAATGTCAGGTACTGATATATGCTATAAAGAACATAAAACAAATGATATAAAAATACCTGAAGATGGTCATGGAGGGACTAAGAGTGATTCTGGAGCTATGATGTCTATGTACAAATCCAGGCTTTACCACTCAATAGGTATATGATGCTGGAAACACTACCTCTCCTCTCTGTGCCTGTTTTCTCATCTGTTGAATGGGAACAATACTAGTATTTACCTCAAGGATTTGTTGGATGAAGTAATATGTGTGCAACAGTACCTGGCACATAGTACTATGTGTTTCCAAAAACTGTTTTCCTTTCTGAGTAACTCACATTGAGCCAAGACCTAAATCTTAGGAAGGAGTTCCATAACATGGAGAAATGAAAATAATTCTACCAAATAAAGAAGAATTAGACTCAAGTGCAGCTCTTTTTTTATATTTCCATGTTATACAGCAATGAAAGTACATGAAGATTAAACCACAGCAGCACCTAGCATCACCCGTCTTCACATTCATCAGAACTTTCTTCACTTAGCTCCTCAGTGCTTTCTCCTTCACTCTCCCTGCTACTGTCTTCTTCACTCTCTTGATCATCGTCTTCAAGATTTCGAGCTTTCTCTGCCGCAGGAAGGAAGAGAATTGCTTAATATGTTTCTTAATATTACCACTCTTTGAAAAATGGTAATTTTTCTTGCTTCTCCCTCCACCAAGAAATATATATATATATATATTTGGAACATGAGAACTGAGCTGAACTTTGTTAACTGTATGTAGGGTTAAAGTAGTAGTACAAATAAGAATATATTCTTACTGGCATAAAGATGTTTGTGGATTTAAAGTAAATTTAAAACTAGGACTATAATATATTTTTATTATAAATGTAATTCGTGATCAGAATGGGATAATTCAGAGGTTACTGACTTTCCGTGAAATTGCGTATTCCTTTATTCCTTTAATACAAAAGGCAGCTGGCATGTTCTGTTCTCTGAAGACTGTTGTACACAATGCCTGTGCCCAGGAACCCGCTTTGTTTGAGCAGTTCAACCCCACAGAGAAAAGGAAGTCATCTTGACCATCCACAAAGGACAAGCTGGTTTCATTAAATGATCCAAGACAACCAGTTAGCCTTTTCTTGACCACTTCCTGAGGATGTACTTTGCTAGTCTCCTGGGATAATGGTTTTTAAAAATATTGACAGCTCATAGTTCTATGAGAAAGAAGAAATTTCAATTTTTAAATTTACCCTTCAGCAACATTTCTTCAATAAGTGAGAAAAACTCCTTGGCCTCAGGATTTTCAGGTTCATAGATTAGGACTGAAAATGGACAACAGAATGTGGTTACTAATGTTCAAAGTGTTTCAGCAAACAGGTCCTCAGAATGAGATTGAAATTGTCAATTAGAGTAAGTAAAAATGCACAAAGCAATAAACACCAACAATTATACCATGGGTGTATTTAAGTGCATATAAAGAAAATGCTCTACTTATCCTAGGTGCTTTATAAGAGAAATCATTTTCATTCTATTTTCTACTTCCTGTCCAAAGATTTAACCTCTATCACTATGAGGCTTCCCTCATAGGCCTGAAACCAAGGTGTTTTGTAACTATAATCATTTTGCAAACAAGGCACAAATCCTGCAAAATACAGAGACTTCGCTAATACGAATGTGTGCCAGGAATCTGTTAATCCCTCATCTCATCTCACCCTTCCAAAGTTTACATGACATGCTTTACTAAAGGCCTCATCTGAACACAAAAAAACAGAGTTTGGGTTTTTTTTTTTTTGTACAAGCTCTTGCATGGTAGAGATGCCATTTTAAAAAACTGATCTTTCAAATAGGAAAACTGATGTTTCTTATTTTTCTTCATGCTTAAAACTGTTACCCCAGTTTACACCTCAGTTACTGCCAACTTCACAGCATTCTCCCCTCTCCATCAGCCATTGTTTTTAGCACTGTTTATTCCTTTTTGTTGATCCTTTATGTGAATGTGAATCTTTCCTTTGGACCATATCAACATATATATTTTTAGGCTTATTGGTATATTAGCAATGTCCTCTTAGAGGCCAGATGATTTACACCTTTTGTTTGAGAGTTTTCTAGACTATTTTATTTTTCAGGTCTGTCTTTACTGTCTTCCTACCTGCCTTGAGGAGTATTCATAATTCTGCATCATCCATTTAATGTTGTGACTCCTCCACGATATCTTGATGGCATCTAAGGGCCACTGAAATATCGAGTGTGCCACTGGCCTGGCTAAGAGTAAGAGAGATAATTGTGGATGGTTCAACTAGGCCCCGTGGGCGCATAGGACCTCAACCCATATGGCTTTCATCCTGACAACCAAACCAGTGTCTCTATTTCCTAATTCACTACCCTAACAATCTACCATCGATCTGCATTAGTAAGAATGTGTACCTGCCCAGAAGCTGCTTTTAAGGATCCTGTAGATAATTATGCATCACTTAAGTTTTCTAATAAAAGTTACTTTTCATACATGTTTTTCTTTATTGATTTTAGAGAGAGAGGAAGGGAGGAGAAAGAGATAGAAACAACGAGACAGAACACTGACTGGCCGCTTCCTGCATGACCCCTACTGGGGATTGAGCCCACAACCTGGGCATGTGCCCTGATTAGGAATTGAACCGGCGACCTCTTGGTGCATGAGTCAACGCTCAACCACTGAGCCACACTGGCTGGGCACTTTTCATACATTTTAACTTAGACTAAAAATATGCTTATCATTAGCAGTCTAAGTCTTTCTCTGAGGCTCAGCCTCTTTTCAGAGCAGGGTTTTTCTGACTTGCTCCTTGAGATACCAGTTTCTGAAGATGTTAATATATACTTGGACAACTAGTTTAAATGAAGCTACTCAGGTAACATTTACAGTGAGAAGCAACCGCAGGATTTTACAGAACTGTTAACATGCTCATAATTATGAATCTTATAGAGGGAAGATTGTGGTTTCCCCAATTTGTTATTCCCATGGACTCCTTTCTTGGTGGAATACTTATTAAGAAGTACTGTTAATTTCCCTGTAACACAGTTTAGAAAATTTCACTTTAGAACTACGATTATTCCATGGGACTGGAGTATGAGATCAGCTACTTCTCATGGTTTAATAAAAACTGCTAGCAAATGTCAATTTTCAGAGTGAGAGAAAGGTATTTGTTTTGAAACTTGGCCTAGCAGTATCCATTCTAGGTGATGAATCAAACATTCTTCTTACTCTTTGACAGGCTAGTAGGGTTTGAAGAAGTAAGAGAAGCTTCTAGCACATGCAGTTGGCATCCTGGGGGCTGCTTCCCAACCTGAGCAAATAAGCAGAGCCCGGCGTGGGCCTTGGAAAAGGACTGGCAGATGTGAATCCTGGCTCTGCCATGTCTAGACACATCACCTTGCGGAAAGTATTTAAAATCTTTGTACTTCAGTTCCCTTATCTGTAATACTACTACTTTAATAAATTAAGAGCTAAAGTAGATAAAGTATTTAGTCCAGCCCTAGGTGCATGACAGGTGTTGAATAAATGTTGATCATTATTAGTTTTCCTGGAATGGTTCTGGGCCTAGAAAAAGGCTTGGTTCCTTCCTAAGCATTCTATGAATACTTTCTTTTGGTTGAAGGGCTAGGGCAGGGAGCCAGGGGTTCTGCTGCCCTGGGGCTTAAGTCCTTCAGATTGGAGGCTATTCTAGGGTAGACAGAAGTTGGTCTTTTTCACTCTTTACATTCCCAGAGTGCCTGGCACAAAGCTGGAGCTCTCAACATTAAAAAAAATAAATAAATGAATATAGACAACTGAGTAGAAAGCAGTCCTTTTTTTGCCTAGATAAAATTATATCTAGGCTAATAGGAAAGAATGATTTATTTACTCAAAAAGAAGAAAAAGTTATAGGAACTATGGTTTATGAAGATACATGTGAAGTTGTGTTAGACTTATAATGATGAGAACAGATTTGGTTTGGGGGCCATTATTATTAAATGTTTACAATTATTATAGTAGATAAAATAGGTCTTCCAGGCTAGTAGAATCCAGGGCTGCCTGTGAGCAGGTGTGTGGAACCTGAGAAGACAGCTGAAGACTCCCTTCTTACAGGTGAAAAGACCAAGAAACAGGAAGATTGACTGGCTCAAAATCTCAGTCATTCATGAGATGAACTAAGATAAGTACTTAGGACTCATGACTTTCAGTCCATTTAAAAATCACTTTTCCAGCCCTGGACAGTTTGGCTCAGCGGTTAGAGTGTTGGCCTGCAGTCCGGAGAGACCCAGGTTAGGGTCCCGCTAGGGGTACGTACCTCGGCTACAGTTTGTCCCCGGCCCTGGTTGGGTCATGCGGGTGGCAACCACTCGATGTGTCCCTTTCATGTTGATGTTTCTCTCTCTCTCTCTTCCTCTCTCTCCCTCCCAATTAAAAAAAAAAATCACTTTTCCAGCCCGGCCACTGTGGCTCAGTGGTTGAGCGCTGACCTATGCACTAAGAAGTTGCCAGTTCAATTCCCGGTCAGGGCACACGCCCAGGTTGTGGGTGACATCCCTAGTGGGGGGCATGCAGGAGGCGGCCAATTGATGTTCTCTCTTATCAGTGTTTCTATCTATTTCTTTCTCTGAAATCAATAAAGAAAAAAAAATCACTTTTCCAGGCTGCCACCAACACCTGGCAGGAAAGGCATAGAGCAGAGATAGTTTTGCGTGAGACAGCAGGAAAACAGCTAAGGAAACACTAGGACTATATACAAACTGAGTGTGACAGCAAGAAAACACACCAGGGACCTGAAGCTTTGTTCAAGAATGAATTTGTAAAACATTTCTAAAAGGACAAAGATAGATTATTTCATATAAATTATTTCACACAATAAATAAATATATTTATTAACAAAATAAATATATTAGTTGACCATAGGAGCCATTTTAAACCTGACTGGTCCACAAAAGTATCTCTTTTCTAAGTCTCTGCCTGTTTGACCAGAAATATAAGCTTATTAATAAAATGAGGAGCCCTGGCCAGTTTGGCTCAGCGGTTAGAGCGTCGGCCTGCTGTCCAGAGAGACCCCAGTTTGGTCCCTGCTAAGGGCACGTACCTCGGTTGCAGTTTGTCCCCGGCCCTGGTTGGGTTGTGTGGGTGGCAGCCACTCGATGTGTTCCTTTTATGTTGATGTTTCTCTCTCTCTCTCTCTCTCTCTCCCTCCCGCTCTATCTGAACAAAAAAGAAAAAAGAAAAAAGAAAAAAAGAAAGAAAGAAAAAATGTCCTCGGGTGAGGATAAAAAAAAAAGAATTCAAGAAACCTATTTTAAAAATTAGCCAGTGATTTCAGAAGTACTGTATCCATAGCGGGGACTCTGTGAGGCAAGTGAGAGTAGACTCTCACAATCCCTACACTGCATGTTCACTTCAAGGACTTTTACCAGGAGATTGAAGTCTAACATCAATCCTATTATCAACAAAGTTTTTTGGAGAGTTGCCATTTCACTTTTAAAATAACCATGACAAATGTATGAGATAAAAAGCTAGGCAAAATAGTTGAAAACGCTGTGGACTTCAACAGAGAGGTAGAATCTTTCAAAATCATTGAAAGGATTTTCTAAAATCAGAAAATACAATCTTTGAAACTAAGAACTTACTGGATAGTTGTGTTTTTTTTTTGTTTGTTTGTTTGTTTTGTTTTTTTTTATCCTCACCGAGGACATTTTTCCATTTTTTTGTTCAGGTAGAGTGGGAGGGAGAGAGAGGAAGAGAGAGAGAGTGAGAAACATCGACGTGAAAGGGACGCATTGAGTGGTTGCCACCCGCACGACCCAACCAGGGCCGGGGACAAACTGCAACCGAGGTACGTGCCCTTAGCGGGAACTGAACCCGGGTCTCTCTGGACCACAGGCCGACACTCTAACCGCTGAGCCAAACCGGCCAGGGCGATAGTTGTGTTTTTTGAAAAGATTTCTTTTATTGGTTTTTAGAGAGAGAGGAAGGGCTCACACTAGCCAAGACTCACTCGATAGTTTTAATAGCAGAATGGACACAGCAGAAGATAGGATAAGTTAACTCAAGTACAGGTCAATAGAAAATATCCAAACTAAAGCAGAGAAATAAAAAGAAATGGAAAAAAACAAAGCTGAGTGTAAAATACATGTGGGACATCATGAAAAAAAGTCTAATTTGTGTGTAAGTGAAGATCCAGGAAGAAAAGAGAGAAAGAGAATAGTGCAGAAGTGATATTTGAAAAGGTAATGGCCAGAATTTTTCAAAGGTAATGAAAACATCAACCCACATAATTAAGAATCTTGAGAAACTTTTCAAAGCTCCCTTTGTATAAAGACAAAGAAAAACACAACTATTTTGAACATCAAGTCAAACCACTAAAAACGAAAGACAGAAAGACAAAAAAGGACAATATTCTTTTACTCAAAAGTGTCCAACAGATACTTAGTTAAGACCCTAAGCTGTGAAAAGGTGCTATGCAATCTGTACAACCCCCAACCCATCACCTCTGCGACCTCATCTCCTATCACACTTCTCTTGCATATTCTACTCCAGTTACAATGTCCTCCCTGTTCGCCAGGCACACTCACACCTCAGCACATTTGCTATTAGTACTGCCTGGAACTCACTTTTTCCAGATACCCTGTGCCTAGTTCTTAACTTTAAGTCTTTGCTCAAGTATTTCAATGAGGCCTTCCAGGACCATCCTATCTGAAACTGCTTTGCCTCCTCCCAGTGTTTTCTATTCCTTCTCCCCTACTTTATTTTTGTGGATAGCACCTATCATTTATGACAAACTCTGTTTTGTTTTTAAATTAAAAAAATATTTTTTTCTTTATTGATTTTAGAGAGAGAGGAAGGGAGAGAGATAGAAACATCAATGAGAGAGAACATCGATTGGCTGCCTCCTGCATGGCCCCCAGTGGAGATTTGGCCCAGAACCTGGGCATGTGCCCTAATCAGGAATCGAATTGGTGACCTGTTAGTGCATGGGTTGATGCTCAACCACTGAGCAACACTGGCTAGGTTATGACAGACTCTTTACATATGAGTTAATTGTCTGTCTGACATTAGATATAAATGTGAGATCATTATCTGTCTGTCTGGTTGACTGCTGTATTTCCAGTGCCTAGAACAGTGCCTGACACATGCAGGCACTCAAATATTTGCAGAATAATTGCATGTTAAGTAAGGTTTGCTGCACTACCTGACACTACCTTGAAACTAAAGGCATCGTTACTTACCCATTATCATAAAGGTAAGGATTTGGACTTACCTTCATGGTAATTAGTGGTAATTAATTAGTCTCTTTTACTTGGTCTCACTCCAAGTTAGTCTAGAAGTCTAAATTTGTCCTTATACCCATCAACCTAATTTACTGTCAAGGAATCACTGAAACACTATCAGGAAAATCCCTGGACTTATGATAATCAAACCATCTTATATATTATGGGATATATTTAGAAATGAAGAGAAGATTAGAAAACAAAATATTTTGTACTTACTCATCTGACATAATTTTTTAGCCAAATGGTAGTCTCGGCTCATTTCTGCTCTCAGGAACTGGAAAACATTAAGAATTCTTCAGATAAGTAGGTTCAGAGAGAATATAAGTGTCAATTATAAATTCCCTAGAAAATATTCCATTAACGATTAACTGTTTTACTTTTAACATTTACACATGTTTTTCCAGGAGTGAGTCTGTAATCAGTCAATTAATTAAGAATATTTAAGGACTTTTCATGGCAAGGCAACATATGTAGAATAAGTATGATACCTCTGACTTTGCTGCAGCCACACTATATATATACACTACTGAACAATTTTAGAATACATATAGGTTGATTCAACTGGCAGAGACAGTAAAGACATTAATCACTTTAATATTCTTTTGGTTCAGATACAGTTTTTATTTGTGAACTTAGCCCATAATTACATGATAATACTTGGTAAAAAAAAAAGTAGATTATATATATTCACTATTTTCTAGTATTGCTGTTATACTATCCTTTTACTATTTTTATTTTCTTATTACAAAGTAATACATACCTTTGTATGTAGTAAATTTAAAAGCTAAATAAACATTCTGTCCCCAATTAAGAAGCCTCTGTATTTCTACCATCCAGAGATGTTTATTATATTTGCATATAGTTTCTATAAATGAACACATATTTTAAAAAACAGAATTGTTCAGTAAATTTTAAAAAATAAATCATGATTGCCCTGGCTGGTTTGGCTCGGCAGTTAGAGCATCAGCCCAGAGAGACCTGGGTTCGGTTCCCGCACGTACCTCGGTTGCAGTTTGTCCCCGGCCCTGGTTGGGTTGTACGGGTGGCAACTACTCGATGTGTCCCTTTCACGTCGATGTTTCTCTCTCTCTTTCTCTCTCTCCCTCCCACTCTATCTGAACAAAAACAACAAAAAAATCATGACCATGTTCTCCTATGGAATTAAATATTCTTATATATTTTTTATTTACTTAGGCTGCCATTTACCAAACTAATACTGCATTATTAGTTATTTAAACTGTTTCCCTTTAAAAAGTAGCTACACTTAGATGATTGTTCTTGCTTGTGTGTTACATATTCTGAACCATATGTAGGTACACTAGGTTTACTCTCCAAGAGACATGAGCATTGAGTCATACAAAAAAACCAAAATAACCACTTCTCACACATTTCCAGATAATTGATAAATAACCAGGTGCCATTTTAAGAAGCAGTTCTCTACCAGTTTTTTAAGTTTCTCCTATGGGTATTAGATTATTTATATTTTTCTAATTTAAATAGAACTCTTCTAGAGATTTTTTAACAAATAATTTCATCACAGTTCTCATTTACTCACATATTAATAATTCTCTTATATTTAAAAAATCTATTCTTGTCTAAGACGTTCATTTTCATTCCTATTTGTAGTTTTCTTCCAATTTAATTATAATATCTAGTATTTGATCTTTGTTATTTTCTTCAAATATCTAGCTCTTAAACTGATATACTAATTTGGTTTTTACTTTAAATTATTTTGTTCCTTTCCTTTCTTTGTATTTTTCCTTTTGTTAATTTGTTCTTTTTCTAGTTTTTGGCATTAATATTTAGTTCACCTACTGTCACTCTTTCTTGAATCATCATTGAAGCATTTGAAACTTTAAGCACTTTTCAAATGTTTTAATATTTAGTGTTATGGTTATCACTATTTTCTAAATAGGTTATAAGTTTAGATTTTTATTTTTATGTGTCACTTAGAAGAATATCTTTTGGTTTTAAGTAGGTGTGTTATTATACTTATTTTTCTTATCTGTTTATATTTTTTAAATCTTTATGGGAATTTTAAATATTTACAAAATAGAGAAAATTGTAAGATAAATACATGGTCGCCCTGGCCGGTTTGGCTCAGCGGTTGGAGCGTCGGCCTGCGGTCCGGAGAGACCCGGGTTCGGTTCCCGCTAAGGGCACATACTTTGGTTGCGGTTTGTCCCCGGCCCTGGTTGGTCGTGCAGGTGGCAGCCACTCGATGTGTCCCTTCACGTCGATGTTTCTCTCTCTCTCTCTCTCCCTCCCACTCTATCTGTACAAAAAATGGAAAAATATCCTCGGGTGAGGATAAAAAAAAAAAAAAGATAAATACATGCTCCCAATTCTCACCTTCAAAAATTAACATTTTAACAACCTGGTTTTATCAATATCCCCACATTCCCCTCCTTCCCCACCTAGACTATTTAAAAGTAGTTTATAGATATCACCTCATTTCACTTTAAATTCAAAACCCAATCACATTATTGCTATCACACCTAACAAAATGAACAAGAGTTTCTTTTGTAAAAATAATATTTTTATTGATTTTTTTTTTAGAGAGGAAGGGAGAGGGAGAGGGAGAGAGAAACATTGATATGAGAGTGGAACACTGATTGGAAGCCTGCTGCACTCCCCTTACCTGGGATTGAGCTCACAACCTGGGCATGTGCCCTGACCGGGAACTGAACCAGCAATCTTTTGGTGCACAGGATGACATCCAACTGAGCCACAGGGCAATGGCAAGAATTTCTAAATATCAACTAATATCCAGTCTACTTTTTTCCCATACATTTCACTGAAAATATTTTATTGGCCTTTTGGATAGAAACAGGAATTTATTTGCCAGGAAGTATGATCCCATCATAATTCTGCTGGAACCAGTGCATGGCTTCCTCTTTGCTGATTGTGTTTGGCCCCAATGCAACCTGTCCTGTGTTTCTTGTCTGCAATACTGAAACCTGGCCTAGCCAGCACACATAGAAATCCAGGCCGTAGATACCAATGCTTGGGTCATATCTGATTCCCAGATCAATGCCAAAACCAAAGTTTCCAGTATCTGAGAAGTTATTTTTTGTAATTCGTACTCTCGCACCTTTAGACCTTTCCCCAAGATTTCTTCTGCCTTGGCCCCACAGACTGTGCAGTGGACAGAAATCTTTTCATTTCTCCTTATGCCAAAGAGTCTGATGGTATATCTGGCTTTGGAGAACACAGAAGACTGGCCTGTGAGCTGTTCCAGGACCTTGGCTGCCCCAGTCAGTCTGTCTCCACTCTCCCCCACACAGATATTGAGGCAGAGCTTGTGGATGTGAAGCTCCTGTTTGGGTTTCTCCTTTTTAGTTTGATCCTGTGCCATGATGAGAAACAGGAAGAGAGCAATATCCAGTCTATTTAATGAAGCGTTGTATTCATCAGACTAGCCTCAGAAAATGGAAAGGTGTACGGAATCCATTTCAAAGTCTCCTTTGCATTAATCTATTTTTTATTTGCATTGATCTATTTCATGGCATTAACATTAAATATATTTTCTCTCAACAGTTCAAAAGCCAGTGAAATTAAGAAATTCATGCAATGGATATTTAGCTGAAGACTTTCATGAGAATTACTTAAAACTTCAAACTTAAGCTGAAGATAGGATTTATTATTGTTTTTATAAGTAAATCCTGAGATCCACTTTCTTTTTTAATATGTTTTTTATTGATTTTTTAGAGAGAGAGAGAGATAGAAACATCAATGTGAGAGAGAAACATCAATAGGCTGCCTCCTGCATGTTCCCTACTAGGGATCAAGCCCAAAACCAGGGCATGTGCCCTGACTGGGAATCAAACCCGGACCTCTCAGTTCTTGGGACAATGCTCAATCACTCAATCCACTGAGCAACACCAGCTACGCTGAAGACAGGTTTTAAAAAAATTGGTCTCTTGCCCTGGTTTCTATGTCTCAGTGGTTAGAGCATCACCCCACAGACCGAAAAGTCACATATTCAATTCCGGTCAAAGGCATGTACCTTGGTTGCAGTTTGGTCCCTGGCCCCTGGTCAGGGTCATGTGGGAGGCAACCCATTGATATGTCTCTCTCACATGGATGCTTCTTCGTCTCTCTCTTTCTCTCCCACTCAGTCTGAAAATAAATGGAAAAATATCCTCTGGGTGAGGATTAAAACAAAGAAAAACAATTGGTCTCACACTGGTTGGTGTGCTCAGTTGTTAAGAGTGTTGGCCTGTGTACTGAAGGGTCATGGGTTCAATTCCCAGTCAAGACTTGGGTTGCAGATTCAATCCCTAGCCCCAGTAGGGGCTTGCAGAAGGCAACCAATTGATACGTCTCTCTCTTTTTCTTTTTATTTTTTGCATTTATCTTCAGATAGAGCAGGAGGGGGAGAAGGGGGAAGAGAGAGAGAGAAACAATGATGTGAGAGAGACACATCAACTGGCTGCCACCCACACGACCCCAACGGGGGCCAGGGACAAACTGCAACCAAGGTACGTGCCCTTAGCAGGAACCAAACCTGGGACTTTCTGGTCTGCGGCTGATGCTCTAATCACGGAGCCAAACTGGCCAGGGCTGACATGTCTCTTTCACATGTCTCTCTCTCCTTTCCTCTCTCTAAAAATACAAATGAGAAAAAATATCCTTGGTTGAGGATTAAAAACAACAACAAAAATTGGTCTTATATTACTTGTGACATTCAAAATAAAGAAATGCTTAAACGCTAAACTCAAAACATGAATTTGATGGAATCTTGACTAGAAAAAAATCCAGTTATAAATGTAAATATAAAGACAAATTGAGAAGTCTCAATTTGATTATAATATACTTTGTTACAGAATTATTTATTTTATTAGATGTGATACGGGTATGACGTTCATTTGAAGAATTTATTCTTAGGAGACTCGTGTTCAAGTTTTATGATGTTGGCAACTTACTTTCAAATGTTTCTGCCAAAAATATATATCTAAGCTATATATCTATACCTTATCTGTTGAAAGAGAAAAAAACTTAATCAATAGAAACTGACCTAGAATTGACAAAGACAGCATAGTAGACAAACATATTAAAATAGCTCTTATAAATACATACCATATGCTCGAAAGTAGAAGAAAATATGAACATCATGAGGAGAGAAATGATACAAAATATTTAGAGAAAACTTCAGGATGATAAAAAGAATGTTTCAAATGAGTATATATTATACTCTAATGTTATATATTATGTATGTTTTATATATTATATAATATGTGTATTTTATACATATTAGAGAGAGAGAGAAAG